TCATCATTTCTTATTGCACAATGACGAGCCCATGGATAAATCTATGGATAACCCAAGCAACTCAAACCCAAAGAATATATGACTAGCTACGGTTCAGTTGCAGATTTTGGCGAACGGAGAACTTCACAAATGCAAGGCTTTATTGGATTCAGGCGCTCAAGGGTCCTTTCTCTCCGAGAAGAAGGCAGAAATGCTCAAGCTTCCATATACATCTGTCAACTGTGAAGTGTCCGGGATTGGAAATATTTACTCTACGAAAAGGGTGAATCTATCGGTTCAATCTCTCTATAAGTCTTCGATTATGCAAATTCCTTGTCTCGTTATCAGCAGTCTTCCAATTGAAATTCCATCTGTGCAGGGACACATTGTAAGTGTGGCGACCCATCTACCATTAGCGGATCCAACGTTTAATCAACTCAGCTCTGTCGATTTGATTTTAGGCTCAAATGTTTTTTGGAACGCTCTGTTGCCTGATTTTATACCGGCCAATAAGGATTGTCCGCGCTTGCAAAAAACTATTTTTGGATGGGTTGTAGGCGGCTCCCCGACAACGGACCATCAAGAAGTGAAGTCCAAAGAATCAGCACACTCGAGAAGATTTGCGGGATTCGTAAAAGAATCAATCCTCAACAAAACAATGGCCCAATTTTGGGATATAGAGAATGGATTCCTAGAATCCGACAAATGTGGAAAGCAGGAATGTGAAATCTTGTACGCCAACACGACTACTATCGGGACAGATGGAAAATTCATCGTCCGTTTACCTCTGAGGGAAGATCCGACTGTGCTAGGAGATTCAAAAAAATTGGCTTTGAGAAGATTGTATTTATTGGAGAGAAAGTTAGAAAAAAATCCAGTATTGAAGAAAATGTATTGTGATTTTTTAACTGAATATGAAGAATTAGGACACATGAGCGAAGTCCCGGATTCGGAAGCGGCCAACTTCCCAGCATATTATATTCCGCATTTAGGAGTTTTGCGACAAAATTCGCTAACGACAAAATTAAGAGTGGTATTCAATGCATCTGCGAAATCCTCATCAAACAAATCTTTGAATGACATTTTAAGTGTTGGCCCTTCCGTCCAAGACACGCTCTTTGAGATCCTTTTGAGATTCAGAGAGTTTCCAGTAGCTGTAGTCGGCGATATCACAAAAATGTACCGACAAACGTGGATTCATCCCTCACAAAGAGATTTGCAACGAATTCTGTGGAGAAAGAATCCAAAAGAACCCGTAAAAATATACAGATTAAACACAGTGACTTATGGGACTGGACCGGCATCATTTCTGGCAACACGAAGTCTGAAAGAAGCTGCCATTAGAGGCAAACCGAAGTTCCCCAAGACGGCAAACATACTCTTGAAACAGTTTTATGTCGATGATTTTTTAGGAGGTGCAAACGATAGCGAGTCGGCCAGAACACTAAAAGAAGAATCGGAGGAAATACTTGAACCCTACGGATTAAACCTGCGCAAATGGCAATCTAGCGATCCTGCTGTATTAACTACAGAAATGCCAAGAACGGACCCGTTTTACTTCGACAGCAGTGAAGAATCAAAAGCGCTGGGAGTGGGGTGGAAGCCGAAAGAAGACTACTTTTTCTTCAAATCATCGCCTGAGTTCAACAAAAGTGGTGCATTTTCCAAACGGACAATACTGTCTGACATATCCAAATTGTTTGACCCCCTCGGACTAGTTAGTCCAATAATAGTAAAGGCAAAATTTTTAATGCAGAAAATTTGGCTCGAGCAAACGAAAAATTGGGACCAGCCAGTGTCCATTGACATACTTCAAGAGTGGAACAAGATAAGAGCGGATCTAACATTTTTGGAACCAATCACCATACCCCGCCGTGTTTACACGAATCATAGTGACTGTGCTCCTATTTTTCATGGCTTTTCTGACGCATCTCAGAAAGGGTATGGAGCTTGTATTTATGCCTCTACGTCAATAAATCCGCAATCAAGCACAGAATTCCAATCACGCTTAATTTGTTCTAAGTCGAGAGTGGCGCCAAGCAGGAAAGCTCATACTATCCCTCGTCTAGAATTAGCGGCAGCTGTGCTCCTGTCTGATCTGATGTGTAAAGTCAATGAAGCAGTACAATCAAAGCCTCAAAAAATTGTACTTTGGACAGATTCAACCACAGTTCTCCATTGGATCAACAACTCTAATTCAAGTAAATGGCAAACTTTTGTTTCTAATCGCATCAAGAAAATTCAAGAGACGACAACAGCCTTGAAAGCTGTTTGGCACTATGTGCCAACGAAGGATAATCCCGCAGATCTGATTTCGAGAGGAACAGATGCTGAAAGCTTGAAACTTTCAACAATTTGGTGGAACGGACCAGATTTCATTTCCACTGGCGAATCAAAATGGCCTGATCAGTCGAAAATTTTGACACCAAATTCGGAAGGAAATGAAGAAATCATGCTTTGTTCAGCTCTGATAAAAACGCCTGATGAAGTCACAAATCTTTTAAACAAATTTTCCAGCTTGAATAAGATACTACGAATTCTAGCATATCTATTAAGGTTTATTAACCGTTGCAAAAATGCAATCAAAGACTCAAGAAAAGATAACATCAAAAAGAAGATGAATAAGAGTCAGTTAGAACTACCGTCCTTAGTAGAAATAGAAAAGTCAAGAAACCTTTGCGTGCGCTATATTCAGAGAGAAGCATTTTCTCAAGAAATAATGTACCTGGCTAAAAAGTCTGGAATGGTTCTCCCTTCAAGCAGTATTAGATCGCTGCACCCCTTTTTGGATAAAGACGGAATTTTGAGAGTTGGAGGCCGTTTGATAAATTCTGAACTAACATTCTCACAAAAACATCAAATTCTGTTGCCAGCAAAGCACAGGTTTACAAGGCTGTTGTTTCATCAAGAACACCTCAAACTTTTACATGCACCGCCACAAACCTTGCTAGCACACGTACGGCGAGAATATTGGCCCTTAAATGGCCCAACAGAAACAAAGAAAACTGTAAACAGCTGCATGAAGTGCGCAAGGACTAATCCAAAACAGTGCTCACAAATAATGGCTCCGTTACCAACGTCAAGGGTGACACAAGCGAAGCCGTTTTCAAGGGTGGGTATTGATTACACCGGAGCGTTGAACGTAAAAGCATCATCCAGAAAAAACGCTAATGTGTTGCGGACATATGTCATAATTTTTGTATGCTACGTGTCGAAAGCAGTTCATCTTGAAGTGGTTTCTGATCTATCTTCAAAAGCGTTTATTTCTGCATTTAAAATATTTGTAGCAAGAAGAGGATTACCTACAAAAATTTTCTCGGACAACGGTAGAACATTTTTAGGAGCAAGCAATCACCTTCGAAAACAGTTTGATGCACTAACAAAGGATCCAGATATCCACAAATACATGACAGAAAATATGATAGAATGGAAATTCAACCCTCCCAATTCTCCTCATCATGGTGGACTTTGGGAGTCAGCAATAAAAATATTCAAATCGCAATTGTATAAAGTAATAAGAGCAAGAATATTTACTTTACAGCAATTAACGCAGCTTGTCCCTCAAATTGAAGCTGTGCTCAATTCAAGACCTTTGGTACCCTTGTCCAGCGCTCCTGAAGAGTTTGACGTATTGACGCCAGGTCATTTTTTAATAGGACGACCTCTAACATCTTATCCTGATAACACACCTACAAAGCACTCTACAAAAATTCTACAGGCGTATGAGGCAATACAGGAAGGATTCAACATATTTTGGAAGAAATGGCAAAGGGAGTATCTCCAACACATTCAAACATTTTCCAAGTGGCACTCAAAAAACGAATCTCCGAAAATAGGATCGTTAGTCGTAATAAAGGATAGACACTGTCCCCCGATGTTTTGGAAACTAGCAAGAATACAAAAACTTCACCCAGGATCAGATGGCATCACAAGAGTATTGAAAACAGCAACATCCACACTAGTGAGAGCCATCACTGAAGTTTGTGTATTACCGTTAAGTGATAACTAACTTAAATTTAATGTGCTTAAAAAACACACACACAGTTTTTACTGATGAAATTTCAATTTCAAAATTTTCAAATTGTTACTTTTACCCTTTTACATTTATTACTTCAAAATTTTCAAATTTTTAATGATATTCAATCTGTATACATTTTTTAAGGGGGGAGAATGTAAAAACTTTACAACACTGTATAGTTTTTAGTTGCTAAGTGATTTTCTCCCTGCTGTTTTGTGTATGCTGTTCATATATAAAAAGTTACTGCGATCCAGTTTGGTTTCCTCCGGTATTTGAGATTATTTATTTACTGATTAGTTTAGCTATTGAAAATAGCTCCAAGTCTATTTGCTGAGGGATGTTATTGGAAAATGTTGTTTCTACAATGTAGTTCTTAATCGCAAAATGTAGTCAATTTACAGTGCTTCGCGCTCGTTTTTACCAGTTATCCTTCAACGACGTGCTTAGACGATTTAAGCGGCTCAGCGGCGATAACCCGAGTCAGAAATAATCGACTCTCCGCACATCCTGAATCCGGAGGTGGGCATGCGGCGACAGGAGGTTATCTCAGTAAAATCGAGTTTCCTCGCGAACCCCTCGACCAATTTTAAAAAAACTTGAGCTTATTTCAAAGTTGAGAGCATGTCAAATATTTTAATTTTCACCGATTTGATTTATCTTTTTTCGTTTGGAAGATAGAAGGTAGGGTTACTTTCTGGATGACCCTCGTATATACTTGTTCGCAGTACCTAGTATGGCCATTGGCCGTAGCAGCGCGGCAGGATTTAGCCCTAGGTCCCACGGCGACATACCACATCTATATTTGACCAATCCCAAAACGTTGGGTAAATGTAGGTCAGGCTGCATTGCAAATTTTTCAAATGTTATATTCGCAATTTTCCTAGTAAATTCGGTTTTTATCGGAGGAAACTTGGCAACTTCTGAAGGCTCATACGATATTTTCCTTAGCACGGCAGTGTAGTGCCCTGAGGTGACGACTTGTTATGTATACATGGTTATTCAAAAGTCACGCACCACTGGCCATGAGGGGGTGGCCATTTGAAATTTTTGAGTTGCCCCCCGCCCCTCTTTCCTCGAGGGGATCAAAAACTGGAAAGTACCTAAAAAGTTTCCCCCCCCCCCCGATACGAGGAAAAATGTCTTAAACAGCAAATCGATATCATAATTAGAACTAGAGTTATGGCCAGTGGTGCGTGACTTTTGAATAACCCTGTATTTATAAAATGAAATTTTGCGACGTCTGAAAGCTCATACGTCGTTTGTCTTTAGCACGGCAGTATCGTAAACGTGCGTCCTGTCGCACGTCGCACCTAGCCGCCCCCCCCCCCAACCCCC